GAAGAAGAAGAAGAAGAAGAAGAAGAAGAAGAAGAAGAAGAAGAAGAAGAAGAAGAAGAAGAAGAAGAAGAAGAAGAAGAAGAAGAAGAAGAAGAAGAAGAAGAAGATATAATACAGGATGCAATCTAACTCAAGTGTTGCCTTCTCAGAGACAAAGACACATACACACACACAGACACAAAGATGTGTTGATTTACCTGGGGATATTAATGAAAATAAGACCCTCAATACTTGGAAGCTCAACTTCATGCTGGTCCACTTGAAGTTTTATTTCTTTATGAAGATTTCTTGTGTGACTCATTCTCTGCAGGCCAACTTTTACGTAGACACCCTTGTTATGAAACCTAGAGAAAGAGATTTTTCATTTAATGCAAACAGCAGACTCACTGCGCACCAAAGATTTAGCTGTGTTCATTAAAACGATACTTCTTTCTTTTTTTTTAAAGGAAGATGTTCTTTTTAGAATAAGAGGCAATGTTTCAGGTCCAACTTGGGCCTGGAATACAACTAGAGTTAAAAGGCTTCACAGCTTCATTTCTGCATTTGTTGTTCCCAAACAGCACCTCTGGCTTTCCGTCTGAAGCTTGTTCTATTTTAGTCCTTGTCTTGAATACTAGATGTATGAAAGAGCCTCCCCTTACCCCCAAGCTGGTTTTTAAGGCTCCAGGGAACAGTGCCGGCACTAGCTCATAGGGCACTTATCAGTAAAGTTCCCAAGCTATGGGAAGCTGTGTAATTCCTGACTTATCTAGCAATGCTCAGGAAAGGTCCACCACCACCATGAGCTATAGCTTGGGCAGATTCCTTTTATATACTGCATAGTTCCCAGGAGCCTTTAAAAAATTCAGCTTTTGAGGGCTTTTGCATAAATATGTCTGAGCTGCAGGCGGTCTTCAGGAACTGATCAGACTTTTCATTTTTGTGTGATCCACTGGGTCATTTAATGACAGGTAACCTTCCCTACTCCAACCAAAATTTTCAACACAAAGTTGAAACTCTAAAAAACTTGGCAAAAAGTGGACTGAACAGCAAGCATAAATGACAATCAGGGTCCACAGCAGACCACTCATGCTACCCATCTGCTTCCATTCAGGGGCCAAACTAGCTTGAGTTCCCACAAATGAGCTAATCAACCCAGTCTTCTGGGAGCAATGGTAGCTGCTGTATTAGAGTACAACATGCCAAAGTAAAATCCTAAACAGCAATGTCAAAACAATAGCCAGAGAGCTGAAAAACCAGAAATGAAATTAAAAGTTGAATGAAGAAAATAGCCTGAGATATTACATTTTAACACCAAGATAAGTCCCGCTACACTCATAGGGACCTATTCCTAACAAGGTGCATAGTGGTATAAAATAAAAGACAGAAGGGGCCTCCCAACTGGACAAACTCAGAGAAAAAACAAAGGTTGCTCCATGTAACTATGGAAGCCACTGTATTGATTTTTATGCTGGATTAAACTGATGCTAAGTGTTGCTGGCATTTGAGAAAACAAGAACATTCTTTAGAACAGCCAAAAGTCTAACTTGGTAGTAGTTTATGAGTACAGCCCTAAACAGAGCTTCTAAGTTCACTAACTTCAATGGAAGGGCATACCTCTGCTTAGAATTGTGCTGCACAGAACAGAACCACATCATTGATGTTCTCACGTGGTTCTAAAGGTACATGGCCCTACCAAACAGCATGGCTAAGAAGTGACAGAGACATGGCCCCCACAACATGTGACTAAGGCATTCTTTGACCTATAGGACAACTCTCTCTTAATGTCCTATTTCCAGTCATAAATAGCATGGGCCGGCAGAGGACAGTAAAACACACAAAATAAAAATATTAGAAGGGGAAGAAGACACTCCTTAACCCCCCAAGACCTGTCAATTTAAGTTTCTTGTAAGACGACATTATCTTACACTTCCGATAGTTTCAATTAGGTCCATGAGAGAAGGATACTTGTTCTTTTCCCCCTGACTGCCTCTCCAGCCAGGCACAAGGGTGTAATATTTCCTTAAGATGGGGCTTCAGATACCTGCTGTTGAATTTGTCTGGTTCTTCTTCTCTGGCATGATGAAAGCCTAGACTGAGCTCTGCATCGATTCCAAGCCCACAGTAATTGTTCATCTGTACAATCTGACAAAAAAAAAAGCATGAATGAGAACATTCAACAGATGGTTTACCCTCACAGGATTCCAACCTAGGAGATAATAGTCTTTGAACCAATCAGAAAGATTCTTAGGGACATGATTAGCCAATAACAATGGTAGAAGAAAATATTTCTTTCCTACCACAACCTTCAAGTGGCTTAAGTATGACACAATGTTTCTATTCCACCACTATTACTTTGCATCTTCCATAGGACATCAAGAAACCCACTTTGTGTTTCTCCAAAGCTTCAGGAAGTGGGGGGGGGGTGGCGGCAAGGGGGGGCAGGGATGCTAGAAAACAACCCTGTCAACTTCTCAAAATAAGGGAATCTACTAGGTAGCCACTGCCACTGTCCAAACAATACCTCCAAAAATTCTGGAAGGCAAATGGATCCTTAATTCCCAGAGGGAGGACCATCCTAACAAGTCCCCGGCTCATACAAACAGGAACAGCCAAGTCCAAAGGAGCTTTTAGCAGATAACACATCAGCCTTAACAAAGGTCTAAACTGCAGCTCCCCAAGAAGCCCAGTAATTTGTCAGCCGGTGCGAAATACTGATCCAGTTTAGCGCTCTCTTTCACATGTAAGATCCAAAATGGCTTGGGACAGCCCCACAGGTGTCAAGCCGGTAAGATGGCATCATGGAACTGGGATCGGTGTTGACGAAGCAGCAGCCACATTACCTCGGATGGGACACAAGGTGAATCCAAAGCACCAAAACATCCCTCTTCCCTTTGTTCCAACAGTTCACTCCTGGCACGGCCATTCGTCCCCTGCCTCAGAAGCTACCCTCCAAACCATCTCTGTGACTAAAAGATACCACCCTCCCCAACCGAAGATCCTGCCAGACGTCTTGAGTTCCATGCCAGATCTGCTTCCAGGTTGGGTGCAATCCTGCTGCTCTCCAATGATGACAGCAAGCCCTTAGCTGAGGCTGGCAAAGTTGACAGGAGTGGGCAAAGTACACAGGCCTCTATCCACAGTTCTGAAGACTTCAGGGCGCTTAATTTTTCTTATGAAAGGTCATTAATCTACTCTTATTACACCAATCTACTCCAACTGCAGACTCCCACTATGCTCTTCCTGAGGATCTCATGACCCCCAGGAACAAAATTTCAGTGGACTCACAGGAAGGGGAATTATAGGCAGAAACCACTGTCTCCTCTGCAGAAAAGCCTAAGTGCCCCTTTCCAAAGACTGCATGGTTGGACAGAGGGTATTTTAGTGAAAGTAGAAAAATGCAAACAGAACAAAACAAAAAACACAAAAAAATACCTTAGGAGGCTCAGGCTCCAATACGCCGTTTTCCGAACTTTCAATGGCCTCTTGTGCATCTAAGAGGATGGTCCAGCGATCCATGAGCACATCATCTGCTTCCTCGACAGCTAACAGAATGGAGTATGGATCTTCACCACTATATCCAGCACCCCAGCGCAGCACCCTCCCCAAGTCATTACCTGATTTTTAAAAAAAGAAAGAAGAAAACCTTTCATTAACCACTTGGACAAAAGCAAAAAACAAGTAGTTCGCCAGGCAATCTGTAGGACTGCTAATATTCCCTTTTATGTCTTACACAAATCGTTTGAAAATGTAAAATGCTTTGCTAACTTTCCTGTGCTTATTTATTTTTATTTATTAACGTAATTTCTATCCCACCCTCCCCAGGAATGGGCTCAGGGCAGGTTGCAACATGGAAATTATAACGTGATCACATTAAAATTCTAAAAAACATCAATTAAGATCACAACAAAAACTCTTCACTATAACATACATTGCGCTTGCTATATACGTTCACTGTAACAAAGTAAATAAAATACACATTTAAGGGGGGAAAGGCTTATTTATACTTTGCTTTTTCTCTCTAATGGGAACCCAAAGCAGCTTACAACATAGTTCTCCCCTCCTCCGTTTTATTCTCACAACCACCACCCTGTGAGGTTGGTTAGACTGGGTGTGGGTGACTGGCCCAAGGTTGCCCAGTGAGCTTCTATGAATTTGAACCCAGATCTCCCAGATCCTAGGGGGTCATGGTGGCTCAGAGGTTAAGATGCTGAGCTGCAGGCCGCAAGATCTGTAGCTCGACAGTTCGAGACCCGAGTGCCATGTGACGAAGTGAGCTCCTGGCTCTGGCCCCAGCTTCTGCCAACCTAGCAGTTCAAAGCAAGAAATTGCAAGTACATAAATAGGTACCGCTTTGGTGGGAAGGTAACAGCGTTCCGTGCACCTCAGCATTTAGTCATGCTGGCCACATGACCATGGAAATGTCTTCGGACAGCGCTGGCTCTTCGGCTTGGAAACTGAGATGAGCACCGCCCCCTAGAGTCAGATTCGACTGGCTTTCATCAAGCAAGGGAAACCTTTACCTCCCAGATCCTAGACCAACACCCAAACCATTACACCATTCCAGCTCTCATCAGCACAGGCAACAGTTTTCCATTCCCATTCTAGCCTCAGCCTCACCTGTGCCTAAAGGTAAAATAGCCACAGATGGCTCTGAACAGACGAGCTTGTGCCGGATTTCTTCCAGTGCACCGAGAACCCAACCAACAGTGCCATCGCCACCACATACCAATATTCGAAAGCACGGGATCTGAGAGAATGCATGAAGCCTTCAATATAAAAATAAAGGAGCACAACATTATCACAGAACTGTTGTCAATCAGAATGTACAATTAGGCGTCTTAATTATCCAAGCCAATTAAAGAACTTCAAATTGAATTTTTAACCGACTGACATGAGGATCCAAAGAACTGTACAACTAGCTTTGTGCATCCAAGGAGAGTTTGGATTGGTGTGCTTTGAACCACAGACTGAAACGCCATGAATTTGCCTCTGAAATGGAGGAGAGATTCCAAAACACATTTGTGATATGGCATGGCTTAGATCCAAAGCTTCCTTCAGTACAAGGAACCAGCTACGAGAGTCTTCGGATTCAGATCTTTAAGTTTCTCTCTACCACCGGACATGAAGTACAGCTCTTACCAAGTCATTAGAGAGTCTTTCTGCAATTAGTGACTACAATTTTTTTGTTTTTAAAAAAGAAGTTTTTGCAGCATTTAACCAAAGGGAGGAGGTTACAGGGCTCATGTGTGCCCAAAAGAAAAGGAAGGCCAGTTGCTTGCTGGTGGTGTGCCAGAAAAACATTGCAACTGACAATGCAAACTTTTTTCTTCTTCTAACATTGACACAGAGAGTACTCCATCTTTCTGTGTTATACCTCTGAGGATGCCAGTCACGGCTGCTGGTGAAACGTCAGGTGCTGCAATGCCAAGACCACAGCCACACATCCCAGAAAATCTACAGCAACTAATGCAAACTTCTTTTTAAAAAATGAACAATGATAAATACATAAACCATCTTAAAACAGTCAAATTTTATGTTCCTGACCAATTAATTAACACACACACAGCATGAGAAAAACTGTATCTTGTGCAGTATAAGTTTTTTTTTTATTTAAATAACCTTAGTTCAAGAGGCAGTAGCCAACCTAGGCTTATGGGTGTAGCAAATATCAGAGAAAAGCACTAAATCAACCCCTTGACTCCTGGATTCAGATAAGGAAAGTTAGCTTTGCTTTGCAACAAGCTGATGAGACATCATTCCCATACTCATTGAACTCCATTTCACACTTAGTACATCACTGTGCATTTGAAAAATGAGCCTCTGCTGCATTTCTGTAACCACTGCCAAATCCCAAATGTAAAAATAGAAATGTCATTTATTAAACTCTCCCCTACAGTTTTCTTAGCTGACCTTAAAAGTGGGAAGATTTATTGTTTTGACAGTGGGGTTAAACAACACTTTTCCACTGTACCTTTTTGCCACCAGCACTGCTCATCTTCAGTAGCAACACACTACGGCAGGGACCCATTATTGCTTTGGAGACCACCGGCTGGTACCTAAGGACCTAGGCAAGTGGTATCACACACCCATGGGGCTTGGGGGTTTCATGAACAGCAGCATCCCCACCCCATTTTGGAAGAGTTTCAAAAACTATTTTTGATATGTACAGGAAGCTGCTGCTCAAATAAAAAGCCTGCACAAATTCCCCAAGGTGAGATCTCAGATGAACCACCAATATGTCTCTGATCCTGGCCACTGTCTTCATTCATGGTCAGCACTGAAAGGAAACCTGCCTTCTCACCTATATTGTGACAATTGAAAAAGCAGAACCCCAGAATCTTAAAAGCAGCACTGTAAGAGGCAATACCAAATCACAGGCAGGAGTTAAAGGGAGATATAAGAACAGAAACAGACACAGTAATTGGATGGGTGGGAAGAAACTCTTTGTTTCACGTGTTTTATTTTTACACCCAGCTCTTCCTCCAAGGAGCAGCCAAGCACTTATGTATGGCTCCCACACCCCATCACAGTTGGATGCTGCTCAGGTCGCAGTTGGTTCCCTTCGGCACTTGAAAGATATTATTTGATTTCTTGACCAGGAAGCAGAAAAATAAAAGGAAGAAAATAAAAGGAAGCTTGGAGAAAAGACGACTGAGGGGTGACATGATCGAGGTTTGTAAGATTATGCATGGGAAAGAGCAGGTAGAGAAAGAGGTACTTTTCTCCCTTTCTCACAATACAAGAACTCGTGGGCACGCCATGAAACTGCAGAGCGGTCGGGTTAGAATGGATAAAAGGAAGTACTTCTTCACCCAAAGAGTGATTAACACATGGAATTCACTGCCACAGGAAGTGGTGGCGGCTACAAGCATGGACGGCTTCAAAAGGGAATTAGATAGACATATGGAGCAGAGGTCCGTCAGTGGCTATTAGCCACAAGGTATAGATAGGGGCTCTGGGGCAAGTGATGCTCTGTCTTCTTGGCGCTTGGGGGGGTCAACAGTGGGAGGGCTTCAAATGTCCTGGCCCCACTGTTGGACCTCCTGATGGCACTGGTATTTCTGGCCACTGTGTGACACAGAGTGTTGGACTGGATGGGCCTTTGGCCTGATCCAACATTGGCGTCTCTTATGTTCTTATGTTCTTATGAAAAAGTCCAACAAAATATACTAAAATACTACCAACTTGATTTTAAAAAAAAATCAAGAAAAGGGAAATCAATATTGAGCTGAAACAGTTACCCAGGCAGTGGTCCTCCATTCGTCAGTTCAAAGACTTGGTGAGGATTCAACAGTTTTCTAAAACTGTACAGCAAATCCCGACCTTTAAGGCCTCCGCTTTTCGGGTTCACAAAGACAAGCAGCGGACAGCAGTTCTGGGGGAGTTTGGAATGCTAGAAAACACAAACAGACACAGTTAAAGGAACAGGCATATGTGGAGATGAAGATGTCATTCCAAAGATAAGTCTTTTTTGCAGGCTTGGGCACTCTCTAGTGGAAATTTCTCCTGTACGAGCCTATAAGAAAAGCACCTGAACTGCATAGAAAAGGCTCCCACTTGACTGCTAGGATAACAAAGAAAAGCTCTTAACAGAAATAATAAAAACAGCATAAAAGCCTATTTGTAAGCTTTACACATTGTCCTTTCCTCATTTTTACAGTGCTAGAACCTGTAAGCACTTAGCTTAGAGTTACTTAGACACTAAAGAAAGAATTAAACCATACCGCATGACATTAAAGATGAAAGTGCTGCACTTTTCCCCCTCTTTAGCTTGAGACTCCAGATGTACTTGGGCAGGGACCTATGTTTTTGATGTCACAACTAATAATAAATATGATTAAGTACAGACCAAGATAGCTCATTTCATGTATACGTTAAATATGGTATGCTGATAATTATTGATTACAACAGCTTTGTTTCCCAAGTCAGTGGTTGGATCCAGACTAAAAAAAAATTGCAGGGGCAGTGTAATTTCCACCCACTTTCCCTTCCAGCTGCAAACTCCCAACTGGACCCTCATACCATTCATGAGGGTCCCCTATCCCCCAGAAGCAGCATGTCCATGAGACCTAATGGGCTGCGGGGTGGGGGTGGGCGAGTTCCATTCTGCCAATGGAGGAGTCTTGCATTAGCAAGAAACTTCATCTGAATCCAACCCAGTATCATCTCCATATTCTCTTGTGGAGCCACCTAAGGCCCCTGAGGGAGGGCAAGGCCACACTTTATAAAAAGAGACTGGTGCTATCTGAAGAAGTGAGTGGTGATTCACAAAAGCTCATAGCCTACCACAAATTTTGTTAGTCTTTAAGGTGCTACTGGAATCTTACAGACGAACTAACACGGCTACCCATCTTGAGATTGGTACAGTAATACAAAACCACGAGAAACATCTTCACATCTTTAAAACATCTGTATGCACACCCACATAGGAGGCCTGCTTGACCTAAGGTTCCCTGCCACGTGTACAAAGAATGTTTCCTCAAGACACGTGCACATCGTCTGCACTTTACACGTCTGCCTCACGTAATACTGGCATACCCACAGCAGCATGCCGGGGAGCCAGCCTGAGTTCCTGGCAGAGGGGAGAAGGCAACAAGCCTCCTTTTGCTGTCTGAAGGGGATAAGAGATTAATTGCTCTAGGCAGCTGCTCAAACACACTGTTGGCTTGCCTCTCTGTCAAGAGGGGCACTGGCAATTGTACCACTGTCCTTGACTGCAGCAAGCAATTCCTATTGGCTGTGGAGAGCAGGAAATGGCAGCAATACAGACAGACAGATTTATTTTAGATAGGATTAACACAACCAAGCCCAGACTGTTGTCTGCTCTGAGAGCAGCAAATGATCATGCCTAGCTAACAGACAGACTCATTTCACACATCACACCAAACCATGGCTTATCAGACTCAGAAACCAAAGTCCAAACTTCAACCTATGGCTTTGTCAATTCAAGCATATATAAAGGTAAAGGTAAGGGTTCCCTTGCTCGAAAGCCAGTCGAATCCGACTCTAGGGTTGCGGTGCTCATCTCCGTTTCAAAGCCGAAGAGCCAGCGCTGTCCAAAGACGTTTCCGTGGTCATGTGGCCAGCATGACTAAACACCAAGGCGCACGGAAAGCTGTTACCTTCCCACTGAAGTGGTACCTATTTATCTACTTGCAATTTCTTGCTTTCGAACTGCTAGGTTGGCAGGAGCTGGAACTAGAGACGGGAGCTCACTCCATCATGCGGCACACTCGGGTCTCGAACTGCTGAACTACCGACCTTCCACAGCCGGGAGTTCAGCGTCTTAACTACTTGAGCCACCGCAGCTCCTGAGCCACCACAGCTCCTGAGCCAATATGTACTGCATCCTTATTCTTTCCTTTTGCTCTGAGTACATCCTGAAAAAGGTTTTCAAAGACCACAGGCTGCGATAATTTTTGGACTAATGAGTCCCCTAAAGATGAAGCACTACTTCAATCCTGTGTTTTCCATGCAAGCATGCCCTGGAACAGCTCTTCCCTTTTAGCTGTTAAGGTACATGGAGTTATTGTTTCCTAGAGTACATACTTACATAATGAATAAATCAATAATGTACATACATGCAGTGAAACAGATGGGTATAATCGCTGCATACAATTTCCACACTTTCCCCACACTATGACATGCCTTCCATGAAGGAAAATGACACTTTAGGAAGCAGCATACAGGAAGAAACTGAGTCCTGACACCCAGGTCCACTTATTAAATTCTCTCCCTCCACAGTTCTCCACTTAAGGACTGAACCAATCAGCTGCAAGGCCTCTTTTATACTTAAACTACGAAGTATATTTTTCTGCAGCTTCAAATCTGAGGATTATCATCCACCTGTTAACCAGCTGGTAACACACAAACTATCTAGCCATTTCCACAGCAGACAGGTACTACAGATGGCTTCTTGGGCGTTCATTTCAGCACGGTGGAAACAATGCAGCCAAGGCACCGTAACCATGAGACCCCCAATCCTAGTATGCTGGTTTTAGGAGGGATGTGATGTCTCGTTCTTCTCTCAGGGACAACATAGTTTGTACAAGCTGGCGACCGCTGGAGACAGTCTAATTTAAAGGCTCATCAAACAATCTATTTGTTATCATTGACGAGAGTGGGTTAAATGTTGCATTCACCCTGCAAAGCAACCTTCTGGGAAACTCCCCCCGCCTACAAGCAGAAAAGACTAGGGCAAATCAGTCACACTCTCTGTCACACTTTCACTCACATACACACACGGTTCCCACTAGCTGCTTTTCCCTTTTGGCTGGATCGCTGCTCAACTCTTTCCCCCACCAGTTAATTTTCCACAAGAACCAAGAAGAGCATGGAAAATTACCTGCTGTGGAGAAAGACATATGGACCGCTGTTTAATACGGCTACCATCTAGTCCTTTTTTCTCCACCTCTTGGTAGGGGAACTTTCAGAGCACTCAACAGGCAAATCCAGACAGTTAAGGACATAAGAGCAGCCATGTTGGATCAGGCCAGTGGCCCATCCAGTCCAACATTCTGTGTCACACAATGGCCAAAACCCAAAGTTCTCAGACATCCTAGAGGATAGCCCTGTTCTTCTGCACGTGCTACTCCTGTTGGTGAATTTTGATACTATGTGCAAGAGCCTAGGCAAGTGATGAGAAACAGCAAGACCTGCATAAAGGTTCAGCACATATCTCTGAGCTGAGAACAAGGTTTTCAAATGGCTTTCTTACAGGTGACTGGTGTTTGCAAGTGCAACTGTTGTTTAATATGCAGCATCCAAAACCCACTTCTAAAATACTCTAGACTCACTCTGGCGCCATGGGCAAGTGGGGGAGCTTCCCCCCCCCCATAGTGTGTGTGTGCATAACATCATGGGGAGGTGGCTCTTTCCCACTTGCTGGCTAGGGAACAATCAGGTAGGAAAGACCCAAGCGGTTGGCCTTGCCAATGTGGCTGTGTCATTCTCGTATGCTGAGAGGCAAGGGAATCACACCATAAATAGGCAACTCCGCCATCACCACGGGTATGTGTCAATGAGGCCACTGAACATCCTGACATTTTCCGAAGATCTAAACTTGGCAGAGCTGCTCAAAAAGAGAATCGTTATGAGCTCACAACAGGCAAGGAGAGCGCCAGCTGGACACGGAATCATTTTAAAGGGTACCCTTAAGTGGAGTAAATTAATCCATCATTACGCTCTCAACATACAGACCATGTTGTTGTTTCTGAGCCAAGTTCTGACTATCCCTCAAGATTATAAACAGTAAAGCTGTTTTTCTTTAAGTAGAACAAAAATAGCTCATTATTTTAAGGCCAAAAATCAAACCTAAACTGTTCTTTGTTTATAACCACACATTCCTTGGCTAGCAGTAAATGTTGCTCTGTTCCCCTACTTTGTTAATTGCTCTCCTCCTCTCTGTATCCAAATCAAGGAAGCTACGCAAACTCAGAGCGGGACTGGATTTAATTAACTTATTTTCATTTGGCATTATTGCAACACTTAATTTGGTTACTCTCATTTAGGAAAGTACTACAAATTTATCCTATTAAATTCCTGGATACCAATGGGCACAAATTTAACTAATGCTATTTGCACTGGAAATGAGAGAAGATTCATTACATAAAGGAGGCGGGCACATCAAGTAACAATACAGTATGCAAAATATTTAAATAAATATTCACTGGATGACTGTTTCCCCTCGTATCAGACAACTACTTTGTTTTAAGATCCTAAGATACAATAAGCACAAAACTCCAAAAAAAAAAAAAAAAAGTGTAAGAAATTTTCAAAAGTGATCTTACAATCACTTTTTGATCTGGAACGAAGAGGTTTATTCATGCAGAAAGAAAGCTGGAAACAGTCATTTTCAGACATCATTTGTAAAAAAAATGGCCTACATTTTCAAAAGCGTCTCAAGTTATTGGCCAAGAACACTCAATTTTCTCCCAAGTTTTTGGTTCTCATAAATGCAGCCCAAATGATGAAGACATGGACTTATTTGGCTCTCTTTCTCAAATGCAATCATAGTTGCTCAATTCTGACACAGGGGTTGCTCAGGTGGCAGCCTCTGGGCATCAGATGTTGTAAACTGGAGTGTCCTGCTTGCATATGAAGTTACATAGGTGGTAAAGTTTCTGTCTCACTGATTCAGAATATCCCCCAATCCCAAACTAATACACTGCTAAATAAACTTTGGAAAAAGTTCTTTATGGTGGCCTTGACAGTGTAGTGGAGCTCTCATACTGTCACATCTATGTCTATGTCACCCAGGTCAACAAAAATGCAACTGCTTCTAGAAATCAATGTCCATGAAGTGGCTGTGGGCATCAGTGCTGAGTTAAAAAGCAGCCATTGAATGTTTTGGCAGGATTGCTTCCAAGTTTCACATCTCTCAGAGGTGACGGTAAAAACAAGGTCACGCAGCTGGGTAAGTCTTTTTATTAATTATGTCTGCACTACTGAAATCAGCCTTGTGTGGCTCCAAACTTTTATTGCACCTAGAGACATACTGATGACTCTGTGCATGCATCAATCTTGGCTGATCTATGATCGCAGCAAATAAAGACTGACTGAAACAGATTCAAGATACAACCTTTCCTATTTTGTATCTCTTGGAAGTGCGCAGATGCAACTTCTGCTGAACTCAAATGTCACATGCTCGTTGGCAGGAGGGCTGCAACTGTTTTGCAGTCTTAGTTGTTTTACCTGGGGACTGGATGCTGGGAATGGCCAAAGCCCTCCTCAGAAACAACATCAATGTGACTGTAAGCAGCCTAGAAGTACGGAGTCCACCTTCCCAAGATGAAAAACCTGGCTGCAGCTCCCTCAAGTGTGAGGATGTTCTCAGGGCCTCAGTGACATCAGAGGCCTCTATAGCATGCTCTTTTTTCTCAAGGTGAGGCTGTCTACCAGACTGGAACTGAACAGCACCACTTACTGCAGGAAATGGGGATGGATTTGGCCATCACGTGGGCTTGGATGGCAACAAATCTTTGTTGAGAAGGTCATCACAAGATACCCAGAAACAGAATGGTATGAAAGTGCCTTACTCTTTCTTTTAAAAGTAGTCTGCAACGTCACAGAAGGCATGATCTGGATTTTATTGCTGTCCACTGTGTCTACCTTTTCAGCTTTACCATAGAGCAAGGTATCTGTAGAAGGAAGGTATCTGCTAATTTCTTACAGAATGATTACCCAATGGATCTTACCAGAACTTCAGGGATCACTACAGCAGTTAACGGCTTGTCATTAACAGTGGTATCTTTAGCTAGCATATACAGTCTTTCAGCTTCCGAAAAACATGAAATGTTTAGTACGACAGCACCTGTAACCAAAGAATTGGACAATTTTTTCATTGCTTCTTATGAAGTACAAAGAATTATAAACATAAAAATATGATGTAACATCTTTGTCCTGACTGGACTGCACAGAAGCCACAAAGACAAACGGTGAGATCTCACGAATATTCAAATGCAGCATCTTCCATAATCCTGAATACTGTAACTGCTGGAGGAAATTAATTCAGTGCTGCTACTTGAAATTCGTTGACACCACAGGCAAAAACTCCCAGTTTAGGAATTCACTTCCATGTTTTATGTGAAGGGTATAAGGAGGAAGCACACGAGCCCAAGAACTGCTGCTGATCTTGCTGCATTTTGAATGGAGGGAAGGAGCCCACCAGTATAGTATTTAATAACCTTGTACTACAGCCAGAACTGCTTCTCCCAAAGTCAGCTCAATCAGATTTATACTATAGATATACACTATACACTATTTACCCTATAAAGCATACTGAACGCCATTTAAACTGATATGTTCTTACCTTGAGATGAATACACATGACTCACAGAAACTAAATTTGCTGAAAAAGTTGAAAAAGCAAAAGAGTAGCATTAGAAGATTTGCTTTTCTCAAATCAAAACAAAAAACTGTACACAACCTAGACAAAGCTTCAGAAAATATACTCTCCAATTTTAGAAACATGTCACGAGACCAGTCCTGTTTCTTTGAAAGCATACACAATCCCCTATGGTTTTTTAGTTAGCATAAGAACTTAAGAATGTAAGAGAAGCCAAAGTTGGATCAGGCAATTGGGCCATCCAGTCCAACACTCTGTCACACAGTGGCAAAAAATACAAGGTGCCATCACCAGTGGGGCCAGGACACTAGAAGCCCTTCCACTGTCCGTCCCCCCCCCCCAGCACCAAGAATACAGAGCATCACTTGCCCCAGACTGAGACCTCCTATCTATACCTTGTGGCTAATAGCCACTGTTGGACCTCTGCTCCATATGTTTAGCCAATTCCCTCTTGAAGCTGTTCATGTTTGTAGCCGCCGCCACCTCCTGTGGCAGTGAATTCCATGTGTTAATCACTCTTTGGGTGAAGAAGTACTTCCTTTCATCCATTCTAACCCAACTGCTCAGCAATTTCATTGAATGCCCACAAGACAAGTACTTCTGTCTCTACCTGCTCTATCCCATGCATCATCTTATAAACCTTGATCATGTCACCCCCTCAGCCGTCAATGAGGACGTACCATCGATTTATACAGGGGTATTATGATACTGGCTGATTTGTTTTCAGTCCCCTTCCTAATAATCCCCAGCATAGCGTTGGCCTTTTTTATTGCAGTCACACACTGTCTCGACATTTTCAGTGAGTTATCTTCTACGACTCCAAGATCTCTCTCTTGGTCAGTCTCTGCCAGCTCAGACCCCATCAATGTGTATTTACAGTTAGGATTTTCGGCTCCAATGTGCATCACTTGGCCACATTGGACCCCACTTGCCACGTGGACGCCCCCTCGCCCATCCTCGACAGGTCCCTTCGGAGTGCCTCACAATCCTCCCTGGTTTTCACCACCCTGAACAATTTTGTGTCATCTGCAGACTTAGTTCGAAAGCTTCAAGACACTAAACAGGATCAACTGGCTGAAAAGCAGAACAACAAAGCTGATGGAATCTCTTAGCCAGAGTAGTAAAAATGCTGAAACTACCAATTAACCTTAAGTTGCTGTAAGCAAACACCATGTGGGTGGGATTTCAAAGGGTCACAGAATTAAGGACCTTCTCCACAATCATGCCAATTTTTTTTTTTTAAGGGGGAATGGCCATGTGGGAAGGAGAAGAGAGACTGAGGTCACTGCATGACCATGAGCCTGCATACTCGTGGCTGTACAGCAAACAGACTCAATCTCCACTTGCCCCATTGCGCCTCAGTTCCAGAAATAAACCACTCAGGCTCACTTGGAAAGACGGTGTTAAACAATTACTTCAGACTCTTTTAAGGAGGCACGGTTTTAATACCTCATCATCATGTCTGATGTATTTGAAATATTTCAGGCCACTTTTCTGAGAAGTTCGAAGCATTCACCAGGAAGCACAATCCAAACTATTACAGCTTTCATAGCAGAGTCTCCTAAATAAAAAGCGATCAGACCAACGTCCCTCTGAACTATTACAATTATCACAGTTCTGATTATGCCTTGTTGCCTTTTAACAAATAACCTAAAAACGTTTCAGTCCGGTCAAAGAATTAAGAGAAGGTGAGATGTTAATTACTGGATGGAGATAGCATATATTAATTAAAAAGTGAGCCCTTTTCCTAACATTTCCTATACATAGTATGGTGCTGTGATAGGGCTGCCAAGTAGGTCGTTGTGCCGCAGCAGGGGACTCCCGGCAGGTGTCTGGAGCGCGCCCAGAAGTGACGTGACGGCGCCGGGCACGCTGGGGGAGGGGCCATGACCATCCGAGGGAAAACCATAGAGTTTTCCCTCAGATGACCGTGGCCCCGCCCCCAGCGTGCCCGGCATGGTCGCGTCACTTCTGGGTGACGCGCACGTCGGGGTGGGGCTCCCCCCGGGGCCCGATCCGCCGGCAGCGGGGAATGGGCCTCTAGGGCGGGGTTTTCCCCACCCCCCGGGGGGACTTGGCAAGCCTATGCTGTGATAAATTCTGAAGGTAAATTGCTTAGACAGCATATAAATAATTTTTTTTTAAACCACTGGAAAACTTCAGCAAAGCCTGAGAAGTATCTTGAAGGCAATGCATAAATTCAAGCAACAGTGCATTGTATGACAGTCAAACTGCAATGGCATCTGACTTACTTTTGATGGTTAATTCATCCTTGAGGATGTTTGTGTATTCTGCAGCAGAGAGATGAGGTGGCAGGCCACCCACAAACAAATGCACCTGCACAACAGACGTATTGTTCTCTACAATGTAAAATCTGGTTTGGTTCATTTGGCGTAGTGAAGTCTGCAAAACAGAAGAGAAGGGAAAAAACCCTCTGAGAATTCACCACATTATAAACACATCAGATTACAGAGAAAAGGCTGGCCTTCATAGCTACCGCCACTGGCTAACAATGACTAAAATAGTGTTTTCATATATAGGGCTCCCCTTTCCTTTCATTTTGACTTGCTTGTTAATTCTCATTTTAAACCAACATAAGCAAAAGCTTTCAGGATTATTAGTGAAAACAATAAAGTGCCATCCATTATGTGTCATCTTCCTCATAAATCTAGATTAAGTGTCACAGAACTCTAAATTCCATGCCAAAAGTACACTAAACAAAGTAAAGATGCATGTCTTTTTTTTAGCATGATTCATTCACTCCAAGAGGCAAGACAGAGACTGGTTTTGGAAAGGACGCAGGAGATATCAGACTCATCATCTGGACCACTGGATAGTGCAAAGTAGGGAGAGAAATACCCCTCCCTTGGAAGGATTTGGAATGAAGACCATGCAGGTGCAAGCAGTCAAGAGGATGGTACTAGACAGGGAAAAGAGGATCTGTGCAAAGCAGCAGACTCCGAACAAATGGCCACCAAGGGCTTTTCGGCACCAGCTTTTTGCTCAAACTTGGTTCTTGAACTGCATTTATTTCCCCCCTCCTTTAGACACCATATTGTTTGCTGGTTGTTGCTCTCCAGTGAGGGGGGGTTCCCCTTTTTTCACACCACCCAAAAAGTCATCTGGAAAATCTTGAAGAAAAACTGGGAGAGCAATGACCTGGAAGTGATACCATGGATCAGGGAGGGGAGAAACTGATGCAGGTAAGAAACCAAGCCAGAGCAAACCCCAATGCAGAAAACCCCTAATATGTGACAACAAGCCTTCCCTAGTTTCAACAGTATTCATAAAAGAACCCTACAAATAGGCTTGGATATCTGGGGAAAAGATAAAAGATTCCTATGGAGAGGGGCTGTGGCTCAATGGAAAAGCCTCTGCTTTGTATGCAGGAGGTCCCAGGTTCAATCCCTGGCATCTCCAGTTAAAAGGTTCAGGTGATGTGAAAGATCTCTGCAAAGCCACTGTCAATCTGAGTAGACAATACTGACCCTGGTAGTCCAACAGATTTGATAAAGCAGCTCCATGTGTGTGTCCCTGAGTTCCCAGGCCTTATCCTTTTACTAACAACTCAGCAATTCCTTAAAGTTCCCACCTTCCACACCCTAACTTCCACACTGCCTTCCCATTATATTATATTAAATCCTTTCCTTCCTTTTCATCTAATTCCTTCCTACCTTTGAGAAGAAAGGAGGCTGAAGTAAACCTCCTGGAGTGGGACACTAAGGGCCCTTCTTCCCCTTCTCAATCTCTCACAAGCTCTAGCTACATGTTTTTGACTTCAGCTAAGGACCTGATACAGAAAATCCATGACAAAACATATCACTTTTTATATAGGTTCAAAGCTGGGGGTGATGAATCCAATCAGATCAAATCTTTTTGTGAAAGAGTCCTAACCTTTGCCTGAAATTTTTCTCTGCCCAAGGAGAAAAAAATGACTGGTGACATAAAGGTACCTGTGTATTTTTCACTGTACTATGAAGAGCTTGAGGGGATCAGGGGAGACAGAGAGATTTAGATTGGGAAAACGATACAAAAAGGAAGGTTTAACCGCAGCGTCCCCCAACCTCCTCAAATGGCACAGTCTCCCAACCCCGTGGAGGAATTTGCACCTCCCCAAAGTAATTCTGATCTCCAGCACCAACTCTACTATGGCCTCCAGACTACAAGATGATGCTTGGTTTGCAAGGGATGTGGGGCAGGAAGCTGCAGTGTCTAATTGTGTCCCAAAATGTATAAGCCGGAGCTAGAGAGGGACTTTTGCTTTCCACTAATAAAACAATGAGTTGAGAGAGATATTTTGTCCTAGCAAGCAAACAAAAAAACAGGGAAGCAAAATGAGCAACTAGCATAAGCTGCAATAGCTCCCCCAATTGCTGGCAGTATGAAAAGGCTTGGGAGGGGGGGCACACAGCTGGGATTATTCCTTTCATGGACATTGCCTGGTTAAGAGCCAGAACACATGTAACTGAGACCAAAGCAAGGTACCTGCCCTCCTATTCTCCAGGCCAAAATAGTGCTATTTACCTTGGATTGTAATAAAAGAGTTGATCTTTTATGATCATTTTTAACAGTCTGCTTCTAGCCTGTGAATTGTTTTATGGGACTCATTTTAAGCAGAGCTTTTTTCATGTTCTGGCTGGGTTTTTAATAGTTTATTAGTGTAAAAGCTTTGTTAACCAGCACCTGACTAACTAGACAACTTGCTTAACCAGAATGCCCAGGACCCAGAGGCCCACATGAATCACCTGCACACTGTCCACTTGGCACTACTGCCCTCTTGCGACTACCGAGTCACTGAGGTAGGTGAGTCACTCAGGCAAGGAACTGGCAAGAGGGCAGCAGTGCCAAGCAGGTGGCACTGGAGGCAGCTGTAGTACCCGGTCATGGCCTGCTTGACACCGCTGCCCTCTTGCTCCTGGGTAAAAGTTTATTTACTGGCATATTTGGTTAACAGGCATCCCCCAGTCCCAACAAATGCTAGTTATCAAAGCTTTTACTGTAACCGTTAAAAACTGTTATACTGTGTCGTATTTTTACAAAGTTTTACTTAGTCAGCTGCCTCCAGCAGGTTCTCTGGCATAGAATTTTTCTAACTAAGTAAATAAGAGGCACCGGCTAAATTTTAAAGTGTCACCATGACCATAAAAAAGGTACACATGCTTGACTAATGGCGGCTACTTGAGAGCCGACTTCAGTCTGTAGTACTTCCTCTGCACACTGTCTACCTTCTTGCCACTGCACACCTGCTGCCTTCTTGCCACTACCGAGTCATTGAGATAGGTGAGTCATAAGTGCATAGACCGAAGTGTAAATAATCAAAACCCAGGAAATACGATAAATGACTTGACAGCACTTCCTTATCTGTTTACCTTTCTTACGTCTTGAAATCTGTTGAGAGTCAGTTCATGATCATCCAGCACCATTCGCTGAACTATGGGAAGCAAAAACAACTCTGATGTGGTTCCTTCTCAATTAAAACTAAAATCATGGATCTCATTAATAAATCCCAAAATGCCAATCTGAACATTGATTTATTCAGTCAATTTAATTTTCCAAGTAATGAATGAAAACACAGAAATTGCAATGTTAAAATAAACACACAGAAAGTCAAAAACCTGCAGGCTCTTTGATTTGAAAGTGAGAAGTAACATTAAACTGCACAGACATTTTGAAAGAGTGAAATGTATCAAAGAATTACCTTGCTTGCAACCCATGAGCACTTCCACCAATCTGAAGTTTTGGGGGCATTCCGACTGCCAAAAAACAGACAAATGCAAACAGAACTTTACCATACTGCAAACTTCCAAAGCTTTGCCGCTTCTGAGTTTTAGTATCTTAATGACATTAATAAGTAAGAAACAAAAATGAGGTGTGCTTTTGATCTGATTGCTTTCTTTAATATTGCATACCTTCTATCCCAAATACTGAAAATCTGACATTGTATAGCCTATAATGCAATATACTACATTTCCAAATTCAATTATACTCTTAGTACATGTCCAGAGATATAAAATTTCTGGAAATTTTGAAGCCACGGAAATAAATATATTTTGAGAATATATATATATATATATATACAATACTTTCTTTTCCTACATAAATGTACTTTACTGCTTTAATAACATAAAATGCACCATATAAGTTAGCACATAAAATTGTACTACTTGCCACATGTATTAAGTTTAAAAACAAATTCTTTAGCTTTTCTACAAGCACAACTGGGGATATACTCAATACGAGAGAAAGCTGAAAACTACACTATCCATGCAACCTTAGCAGAGATCTCTTGCGTTTCAAAGGTTACTAAAGAATGGCAAGTGTGAAAGTTGGACAGTGAAGAAAGCTGAAAGGAAGACAGTTTGAAGTGTCGTGTTAGAGGAGAGTTTTATGGGTAACATGGACCGCCAAAAAGACAAATAAGTGGGTTCTAGATCAAGTCAAGCCTGAACTCTCCCCTAGAAGCTAGATTGACTGAACTGAAACTATCATGCTTTGGTCACATTACAAAAAGACACGAGCCACTAGAAAAGGCAACAGTGCTAGGAAACGATGAAGGCACTAGGAAGAGGAAGACCGAACATGAGATGGGTCGACTCAGTCAAGGAAGCCACGGCCCTCAGTTTGCAAGACCTGAGCAAGATAGTTAATGACAGAATGTTTCGGAGGTCATTAATTCACAGGGTCGCTATAAGTCAGACGCAACTTGACAGCACTTAACACACGCACAAAGAATGGCAAGTAGCAAATCACAAGAAAAAGAAGCTCTGAACACACAATCGCTTAAGGATAACAACACCCTCTAGGTGCAGAAATGTTCCTAGATGTGAGTGCTGAACTTTACATCACTCTCTAACAGATTATCTTACAAACAGATCTTCATACTATATTCAGTGTGAGGTTGTTCAGATTCCTGCCCCGCCCCATGCTGACAGTGGAGGACATGAACCAAATGAACCACCACGTAGCAAGCCCACAGATACTGAATCCAGATTTGACTAATATAATTACATACAGACTAAAGGGAGGGTGGCAGGAAAAATATCCATTTGATACCGCTTACCTGGTATCCAAGTAATGGGAGGACTTCTTTAATTACCATCTGGGTAGTGCTTTCTTTCTTTATTCGTATTGAGACACAGGCCATTCCAACCCTAGAGGAAAATGATATCATTTATTTAAGGTGGACAGGGGTTGGGGGAATATTAACAGGGAACTCCTGTTCTGCCACTGTGTTTAAAGTCCAAAGGGATCTGTCAAGGATGGGCAAGTGGGCGTCAACATGGCAAATGGGGTTCAATGTGGCCAAGTGCAAGGTGATGCACATTGGAGCCAAAAATCCTAAATATAAATACACATTGATGGGGTCTGAACTGGCAGAGACTGATCAAGAGAGAGATCTTGGGAGTCGTAGTAGATAACTCACTGAAAATGTCGAGACAGTGTGTGACTGCAATAAAGAAGGCCAATGCTATGCTGAGGATTATTAGGAAGGGTATTGAAAACAGAGGGAGTAAGCAGTGAAGTGGCTAAATTTGCGGATGATACGAAGTTGTTCAGGGTGGTGAAAACCAGTGAGGATTGTGAGGCACTCCAAGGGGATCTGTCAAGGATGGGCGAGTGGGCGTCAACATGGCAAATGGGGTTCAATGTGGCCAAGTGCAAGGTGATGCACATTGGAGCCAAAAATCCTAACTATAAATACACGTTGATGGGGTCTGAACTGGCAGAGACTGATCAAGAGAGAGATCTTGGAGTTGTAGTAGATAACTCACTGAAAATGTCGAGACAGTGTGTGACTGCAATAAAGAAGGCCAATGCTATGCTGAGGATTATTAGGAAGGGTATTGAAAACAGATCAGCCAATATCATAATGCCCCTATATAAATCAATGGTGAGACCTCATTTGGAATACTGTGTGCAATTCTGGTCACCACACCTTAAAAAGGATATTATAGCTTTGGAAAAAGTGCAGAAAAGGGCAACTCGAATGATAAAAGGGTTGGAACACTTTCCCTATGAGGAAAGGTTAAGGCGCTTAGGGCTCTTTAGCTTGGAGAAACTACGACTGAGGGATGACATGATTGAGGTTTATAAGATTATGCATGGGAAAGAGCAGGTAGAGAAAGAGGTACTTTTCTCCCTTTCTCACAATACAAGAACTCGTGGGCACGCCATGAAATTGCTGAGTGGTCGGGTTTGAACGGATAAAAGGAAGTACTTCTTCACCCAAAGAGTGATTAACACATGGAATTCACTGCCACAGGAAGTGGTGGCGGCTACAAGCATGGACGGCTTCAAAAGGGAATTAGATAAGCATATGGAGCAGAGGTCCACCAGTGGCTATTAGCCACAAGGTATAGATAGGGGCTCTGGGGCAAGTGATGCTCTGTCATCTTGGTGCTTGGGGGGGTCAACAGTGGGAGGGCTTCTAATGTCCTGGCCCCACTGGTGGACCTCCTGATGGCACTGGTATTTCTGGCTACTGTGTGATACAGAGTGTTGGACTGGATGGGCCTTTGGCCTGATCCAACATTGGCATCTCTTATGTTCTTATGTTCTTAAAGTCAGGTGGCTCCGTATCTGCAGAAAAAGGACTGTTCACTAAACTGCATGAAGTTCTCTCTGCTGGTCAAGTTGACAAATACTGGTCCTTAAAACCCATCACTAAGGCTTGAACAGATGACTGCAGCAGATGTGCATGTTTAAACCTGCACTACCTGATCCTTATCTTTTTTAAAGTAAAGGAATCTAACATTCTTAGTATGACTTCCTAAAACGTGTTCCTAATTCACCTCCGTCACTGTAATTAAGTTTATTTGTTCACTGAAGTATCGCTGTGCCACTTTTCTCTTTAGGCATACAAACATTTGAACTAATATGCAAACTAATGGACTTAGTTTGGCTCAGTTTCATCTTTTTTTTATGCCCACCATCATGATTTCCCCCATCATGCTCCCAGCCCTTTTCTCCACTGTTTGCATATTTCCCCAGAGCGACATGATTTTCCCTTGCGGGTGTTAGCTCCCCAGAGATGCTCAGCTCAGTTTGCTAGCAACCTTACCCCCAGACCATGCCTTTAGCTAATGGAGTCTGAGTTCTGAGCTTGTGTCAAGGTGTGGAGCTACCTCCTCCTCCTC